TTGCCATTAATACAGACTTTGCTGATATTTAAAGACTTTTTTCGGTGCAATACATATCCAAACAAAGTCCCAATGAAATACACGGCCCCGTACGATCCAGGTATTTTGTGAATTGTAAAACTAAAGTATTTCTCAAAATATTCACTAAAAATAAAACAATAATTTTAATTCACTTTATTCACAGAATATTCAGATTCTATGCATACGTTCGGCCGGTGTTGATGAGCGCCGGCGGCAGTTCATAGATATACCACAGAATTGACGACAGAATCGCAAACATTAAAACTGTTGTTACGTTTAAAATGATACCAAACTTGAAATTACAGAGAAATACTACTAACAATACAGCGGTTATTATATGGTATTGAAAGTCCAGAGCTATAAACCAGGTGTGAATCGCACACTAATAACAAAATAAAGGATAAATTTATTTTTAGGTTTATATTTAAAAATTATTAACTATTAACAACTTACCATTTGCTCGGATTTATAGAGATTATGAATGAGAAGCATATTGAGCCACCAATTGGTCTCACATTTCCTCACATTAGAGACGACTACTTCCTTCCAGAGAGGGCCCGACCCCATCAGAGGCAACAGAAATGTCAATAATATAAATATCATTAATTGCGGTAAAAGTCTCGCCAAACGTAAGACAATATACAAGACGACATTAAATCTCTTGACATCTCCTTTGGTTACCGATAGAGCGATATAATTAGTGAGAAGTCCACTGAAATTAAATAATATCAAAATTAATATTCTATGAAAATATATAAATATTCAATGAAATTAAATAATTAATAATACTATAATAAACTATAATATTTATTATACCTAATCAATAGGAATGTCACGATACCATACTCTCCATTTAAAAACGGTTGGGCCATGAAATTTGTCAACAACTCTTTCCCATGAAAGCTCCCGGCTAATTAATTCAATGAGGAATATTTTATATTATTGATTATGATTGAATAATATTTGGCTATAATTCAAAACTCATAAATACAAACCAAATAGCTGAAAACTACTCCATTGAATGCTGTGTCCAAACAGTATCCATACAATTGACAAAACTCTTATGCCGTGAATACATGACAAGTCTCTGGAAGTGGTCGGTGCTGTCAGTCTATTAAAAGTTTTTTTCATAGAGAATGTTCTGACAAATACAAAGCCCTTCGAGTTCTCTGTCAATGAAAAACATGGAAATAAAAAATAAAAGTTACTTTTAAGTAAAATCAATAAATAAGTTGAGATTCAATACTTTC